ATATCCAATGGCATAACACAGGGATGTGTATTGCTCTCTTTTCTTTGTTTTTGTTATTTGTTGTTTTGTTTTTATCTGTATCTTAAAGAATTGATACCCATTGAGCAAGGCATACTTGTTCTTCATTGTAGAAAATATATGTGACTCTTGAAGATAACATAGTCCTAGGGTCATGACCTAGAATTTGATATCAGGGGCAATTGGAACTGTTACCTAATCACTGCATGAATAATTTAAAATTTCTTATTCACATCCCATACAATATTTAAAAGGATTACCAGTACATAACCTTTACTGCATTCACCTCAATTAGTTAGAAGTAACAAGTTAATCTTGATGAGAATGTCAAATGAAGTGTGACTTAAATTTAAAAATTCCATTTATTGGGACTTTATGGACTGAACATTTGGTTATATCCAGTTCTTTTTTTTTCGACTTTAAGGTCGAAAAAAACCTGGCAGCAACAATGGTCTCATAGCCTTATAGTGAGACATCTACCCCAGCAGGCTTCTGGTGAGAGGCTTCCAGTCCCGATTTGCACTCAATTGCTGGTATAACATATTTGCATAGTAGATATTCATTTAATTTTGTCAACATACATTTATTGATAAATTCCAATATGTCAGGAACCATGCTAAGCTTTGGAAGCACTACAATTCTTGCTTATATGGAAGTTAGAGGATATTGAAGGAGATAATCAAGTAAACACGCGTCAATATAGTACTATTACTGCTAGAATATATATATAAAGAGAGGGAATACTATTGGAATATGAAAGGTGCACCCAACTCAGTCTGAGGGATTAAGGGAAGCTATCTACAATAGCTTATTTTTTTGGATGATATATCTGAATAATAAATGATATTCAGCCAGATTAAAAAGAGAAGGAATGTTCTAGATAGGGAGATCAATATATAAGATAGTCCAGAGACAAATGACACCTTAAGTTAGTGTTTAGAAATAAAATACTTCAGCATGGCTTGAATACAGAGTACAAAACAGTGAAGAGAGAGAGAAGAGGGTAATGAGATGCAGCAATTTGATTCATTAAAAACCTCACAGACCAGGCAGAGGCAGTTGGAGTTCACAAAGATGGTCCATGCTTTAGGCTGAGCTGTGATATGTGAAATGATTGCACATGCATTCTAGAAAATCTCTCTGGCTACGAAGTTGAAAGAAGAGTGAGGGGAGAAAGCCTATGTTTTCATGACCAGGTTGGATGTTCATGGTAACTACGGGGAGAAGCAGTGGTGGGCTGGACTAAAGTACTGGTGTAGAGTATTTGTTTCCTAGGGCTGTGGTAACAAGCACCACAAACTGGGTGCCTTGAAATAACAGAAATTTATTCTTTCATTATTCTAGAGACAGAAGTCCAAAAACGAAGTGTAGGCAGGGCCATGATCTCTTTGAAGGTCTGGAGGAGAATCTGTTCCATACATTTCCCTTAGCTTCTGGAATTGTCAGCCGACCTTGGTGTTCTTTGGCTTGTAGAAACATCATTCAAATCTCCGCCTCTGTCATCACATGGTATTCTCCCTGTATGTCTTCACATTATCGTCCCTCTCTCTATGCATGTCTGTTACTGTGTCTCTTCTCCTTCCCTTATAAGGACTCCAGTCATATTAGATTAGGAGTCACCCTACTTAATGACCTCATCTTAATTATATCTGCAAAAACCCTATCTCCAAATAAGGTCACACTCACAAGGTACTGAGCCTTAGGACTTCAACATAACTTTTGGGGGGACACAATCAAATCCAAAAGGCAGAATGTAAAGAGAAGAGCAGAATAATTAGATAATATAGGCTGCAACTGAAATGGACTTGGAAATAAATATATATGGGAGAGAGCATGTAAAAACCAACCCTGAGGGCACCTGCGTGGCTCAGTCAGTTAAGTGTCTGCCTTCAGCTCAGGTCATGGGTGCCTGGGATCGAGTACCGCATCAGGCTCCCCATTCATTGGGGAGTCTGCTTGTCCCTCTGCCCCTCCCCCCTGCTTGTGATCTCTCTCTCTCTCTCTCAAATAAATAAATAAATAATAAATAAATAGAATATTTTTTAAAAACCAACCCTGAAATCCTGATTTCATAATTAAACAGCTTCATGGAAATAAAATAGTTGTGCAGTATTTATCACAACCTGATTGTAGAAATGAGTAGAACTTTCAAGTCAAGATTTTCTTAATTTAGCTTGCCATCAAGGACAAAATTGAACAATCTTATATTTGGACACAATTTGTGTGTGTTTGTGTTTTTAATGTGTATTCATGCATGTTTCTTAGGCTTAAGTCAATAGATTTAGTAGATTCTCAGAAAGAAACATGACCATTCAGTATTCCAAATGCCACTACGGAGAGTCTCCTGTAACTTTGCTTTTATCCTTATATTTAGGCAGAGTACATAGCTGTACACCTGAGCCACACTGATTGGGCCCAAAATAACATTTCTCTTATCAGACTGGGCTTGGTATAGTATAATTGGTCCATGGTGAGAGCAGGGGATGGAATCCTGTAAAAACTGTTACATATTTATGGTAGGGATTTTTTTAAGATGTTATTTATTACATTATACTACATTATACTATTTTATCCCCCTGAGAACACAGAAAACAAATTTATCTTAGGTAACAGTACCAGGAATTGCTATGCCAGGAATTCTCTTTAAAAACTTATTCATATTTTAAAACATTTTGAATTTTATAAATGACTGCACTTTTTATCCTTGCCTAAGCACTAGAAAGCTGAGAGCTGGATTGTCATGCCAAGTCAAAGGAAGTATGTAATAATTTTAACATGCATTTTGTGTTCTAATGTAATTCCTGAATTCATACATTTTCCTAACTTCATTTTTCTTGACTCATTTCTCCATTTACTTACCTTCTCGTGTTCTCATTAATTGTTTCATTTATTTACCTAATGAACAAACTGTAATTGAATGCATATTATGTAATCATGTATTAGGTATTGCACCAGTTCCCTGGATTCAGTGATGGATAAACGTTGTTTTCAGATATCTCAGTCTAGAAGGGAAGGTATTCATTCAAGTTAATATTTATAGTAGATTGTGATTAACAATTATCAAAAGATCTAAAAAATAATATTGGTGCATAAAGGGGGAATGCAGCCAAACCACCTTAGATAAAAGGCTTTCTGAAGAGGAGATGGTTGAGCTGAGCCCTAAGTAGAAGGTAACCAAATAAAAAGTGAAGGGAAAAAAATCCTATGAAAAATAATAAAAAAATCAAAATCTCTACATAAAAGGTGAAAGATCGCGTGTTTGGGAAATAGAAAATTCAGTGTTGTTAAGATGTCAGTTGCTCCCAACTTGGTCTATAGATTCAGTACAATTTCCATCAAAATCCCAGCAAGTTATTTTGTGAATGTTGACAAACTGATTCTAAAATTTATGTGGAATGCAAAAAAAAAACAAAACTCACAGCAGCCAACACAATACTGCAGTTCGAGATCAAACTTGGAAGATTGACACTCCCCAATTTCAATGCTTACTATGAAGAACTACAGTATTGTTTCCATTGTTTCTTTCCCTGGCCTCAGGTAGTTTCCTTGTAAGGCTATGCTGGTTAGTGCTCATCTGAAGATTTAAGGGGGCCATCCATGAATCCCCCCAGAACTTTCTTTATCTCTTTTTCTCTCTCTCTTTCTTCTTTTCTCTGCAGCTCTCTACTTTACATGACACTGACCTGTGATCTCTAGCTGTCTTGGCCTTTCCAGACTCCCAGCTCCATCTCATCAATTCAGCTCCATTCCTGCACTAAGGCCTTATAATTCTCTTAAGGCATTAAGCTGGGACAATCATAGGACACGGCTCATTTATTTTCCATCACTTAAAAATCACTGTCCTTTTGTCTATGTCCAATATCTTTAAAGCCAGTGTTTTACATATTTTATCTGCTTTCTATAGTTTTAAGTGTGAGGACTAATCACAAGAAGTCAAGTGAGTGGGAATTTGAAAAGGAAAAAGTAATTGATATAGTTAGTTTTATCTATTAGTATTAGCAAGTGTGTGCATGTAGGGGGGGGATTGGTGACCAAAGAGACCTGATAAATAAAATGATGGAAATAGAAGCTAGATTTTAGTGAATTAATAATTAAATGGGAGTCAGGAAAAAGAAAAAGCAAGTAAAGATGACATTCCCAGGAAGCTGAGTTGAATAATGATGGAAAGGTACTGGATGATATTTATAAGGAAATACAGAATCAAAGGAAGATGCTTTTGTTTACTGTTGAAATCTTTGTTGAGATAAAAAATAAAGAAAATTAAAACTGATTATGGAGAAGGCAGAGTTTGACAAACAATGGCCTATAGAGTGACTACCAGTCTTTCCTGTAAATAAAGTTTTATTGGAACACAGTCATGCCTATTCATTTACATATTGTTGTTGGTTGTTTCTTTGTTACAACAGAATAGCTGAATAGTTGTGAATGAGATCATATGGCCTAAAGTCAAAAATATACACTGATCTTTCATAAAAAATTTGCCAGTCCTTACTAGGGATCCAAAAAGCAATAAAAGCGTATATTTCTAGTCATCTGGAGTTTCAAATTCAGTAGCCATCATTTTTAATATATTATACTGGGACAGATAACATTAATAATATTAATGGAAAAGAAAACAGTATGTCTTATATTTTTTTATCTTCAACAATAAAGGGTTAGAAGTAATTTCTCAAAATAAAATTATGTGTTTTATCTTAATATTAGACCTAAAACTTAACATTGCACATAAGAGTTTGCGAGCAAATTATTTGTAATGGTGCAATAAAATTAAACTAAGAGTTTTATTATTTAAAAATGATTTTTTTAATTAGTGATTTTGTGTGGACATTAAATTACATATCCTGTAGAACTTAAATAAAGTACAATAGTTGGAGTTTATTGTTTTATTTTGATTTTCAAATATGTAATATTCTATCACAGTCAATGTCAATTCAATAACAATTAACTGACGTGGTCTTTAATCATTTTTAAACTTTTTCTAGGCAAAGAAGTCAAGCCTAAGCCTCCACGTATGTTATATGCATGCCAAAAAATAAATAAATAAAACGAATCTTAAACACATGCTTTTACTCATCCTCTGATTTCATAGTTGAATATTTTGCTTAAAGTCAAAGGCTTAACTATTTTGTGTAGACAATGTGCTTAAAATCCTCATATTTCTAATATCTTTAGTATTTCTAATATCCTTTGTGTTTCTGAGAATACGCTATGCTAAAATTTTTCTTCAACTTTTGTTCACTGAAGGTACAAACCAATACCTTTTGTTAACTTCTCCTAAAATCTTAATTCACATTTTCATTTTATCTCAAAATAATTCTTATTGTGATTGATAATAAGGAACCTTTATTTGTTTGTATCAATTTGTTGCATTCATTAAAAAGAAGAAAATTAATGTGGCAGATTAAAAAACAATGAATAATATGTAAAGAAATATGCATGAGTACAGAAAAAATATCTTTATATAATCATCATTATTAATGTTCACCTATATTTTTAGAGCCACAAGTAAAAAAAGAAGAGAAACCAGGTATGTGTATTTTATGTATAGATTCATACTTGCATTCCATATTTATAATGAGTAGCATATTACCTCTTTGCCAATGTTGTGTCCTAGTGCAAATATTATACAAAAATGTTATCCTTTATCAACTTTTTAAAATAAGACAAACATAATGCATATTTATCCATACCACCTGTTCCTAGAAAAAATTCTACTTACAAAGGAGAAACTGCAGAGAAAGAAATTGATCTGGTTCAGAAGAAGCAATTGACTAATTGAGTTGAGTCCCACAAAACCCCTATTTTTGCTGATTACTATAGGACACAGACATCCTGTCAGAAAAACAACTCTTCTCATTCTTCTGTTTTTTGGGGAGCACCTGAGTGAGATGAATATTTCTGAGGGCTGCAGGATGCAGCAGAAAGTTTTTAAAAAGAACACACAGAAATCTGATTCTCAAAACAGTTAAAACTTTGGTTCATGTTTCCCAACTATTAGTGTGATAGGGCTGCTGTAATAAAATACCACAAGCTGTGTATTTTAGGATAGCAGAAATTTATTATCTCACAGTTCGGGAAGGTGGAAGTCTCAAATGAAGGTATCAGCAGGGCCATGATTCCCTTAAAACCAGAGGGAAGAACCTTTCCCTGCCTCCTCTGGCTTCAGGTGTTTGTGAGCCATCCTTGGTGTTCCTTGGCCTGAAATTGCAGTGTTCCAATCTCAGCCTCTATCATTCCATGGACATCTTCCTCCTTTGTGTCTCTATCTCTGTCTTTTCTCCTCTTCTTGTAAGAACACCAGTCATATTAGACTAAGGACCCAGCCTACTCTCATATGACTACATCTTAACTAATTATACCTGTAAAGACCCTATTTCCGTATCAGGTCACATTTGGAGGTGTTGGGGATTGGGACTTCAGCCTATCATCTTTTGAGAGGACACAATTCAACCCGTAAAGGCCTATCCTCTGTTCCCCCCGAAAGGCATGTCCTTCACATGTAGCAAAATACATACACCTCATTCTAACATCCTTAAAAGTCATAACCATTTTAGCAACAACTAAGTCCAACAGTTCATCAATTCAAAGTCCAAATCTCATCATCTTCAACATTTATGGGTGAAACCCAGGGTATTGATTCTTCTTGCAGAAAATTTCTCTCCATCTGCAAAATCAGAAAACAAGTTATCTGCTTCCAAAATAAAACAGCGGGACAAGCTAGGTTAGACATTCCCATTTCAAAAGGGGAAAAAAAAATAAAAGGAAAAGAAGGAATTATGGGTGCCAAGTAAATCCAAAACATAGCGGGGAAAATTCCATTAGATGTCAGGACCTGAGGATATCCTCTTTGGCTGAATACACCATCCTCTGGGTCTGGTAGGGTGGTGGGTCTGCCTTTCTAGCCCACCAAGGAGTTCCCATCAACCCAGGTTGTGGGTTGTGACTCTGCTCTTAGAGTTGTTATTCCTTCATTTCATTCTCTCTCTATTTCTGTCAGGCACATTGGTTTTACTTGCATAGAATTCTCAAAAACATGACCAGTTCTGCGTTCAATTCATGATGATCGAATTGGACAAGAGGGTTCTCCAAAGAGCCTTCCTCATAACTACATCTCTACTCCTGCCTTCTGCTGAGGTGGTAGATTGTATCTGCAAATTTGTCCAGTCACTCTCTTGGCCCTGTCTCCAGGGTGCACTGTCTCCATAAGTGGAGAATTCTCCAAATCATCAAGGGCCGATTCCTCTTGCTTCTCAGTTTATCTTCACTCCTCAATTTATTTTCCCTTTCACATTTTATTATAAGCAGCAAGGAGAAATCAGGCTGCACCTTCCACAATTTACTTGGAAATTTCTTTGGCTAGGTATCTATGTTCTTCACTTACAAATTCTACCTTCAGTTATTGAAACCCAAGTTTGGCTGCTCACAGCTTGAAAGCCAATACTCCAGAGACAAATGTTGGTTGCAAAGGAAAGGTTGCTTTATTCAAGAGGCTGGCAACCTGGAGAGATGGTAGACTGAGGTCCAAAGACCATCTTCCAGTTTCCTAGTTAAGAAGCAAGGGATTTTAAACGGGAAATTCAGGGTAGTAGATTACATACATATTGATGAAAAGGGTGGGAAAAGATGATGATTCATGAGGAAGATGGAGCAGGTGCACTGAGCAAACATATATGTAACATCCATCTCATGTTCACTTTGGGTTGGAGACTTAACACCAGAACAAGGCAAAATTCAGCCCCCGATATCAGGAGCTTCTCTTAGGATGAGGAGAAGGGACTGTGGGCATGCTCTGAATGCTGGTATAACCTAGATGGGGTCTTAGGCTTGTTATCTCAGAAGAAATTCAGAGCCTTGCTTGTTCATAGGTTGGAACCGTATCAGTTGACCTTGAGTCCAGGCCTCTATGGACAACTTGTGGATCTGTTAGTGGAGTCTGAAAAAACATAATAGCTAACTAGAAGGAAACCATTCTCTGAAAAACAAGCTTCTGCTAGTTTCAACTTCATTGACCCTATGGGGCATGGTTTCACTGCCACCCAACTGAGGAACACAATTCAGCCAAATTCTCTGCCACTTTATAACAAAAATCACCCTGGCAGGACCCAATAACATGTCCCCTATTTCCTTCTGAGACCTCACCAGAAGCACATTTAACATTCTTATTTCCAGCAACATTTCGTTGATATATGTTTTTGATGAGGGTATACATAAATTGTCAGAAGTTTTCTTTATAGCTCTTCTTAATTTTCTTGAGTCCTCAGCAGAATAGACTTTGTCAATATTTCTGCCAATATCCTTTTCAAGGCAATGTAGGTTTTTTTCTTTTTTTTCTCTAACAAGTGTCTCAACTCATCAGCCAATTCCAAAGCCACTTTCACATTTATATGTATTTGTTACAGCGGCAACCCATCTCCTGGTATCAAAATCTATTAGTTTCCCTGGGTAGCTGGAATAAAGTGTCACAAACTGGGTAGCTTAAAACAAGAAACATTTACTCTCTCACAGTTCAAGAAGTCCAAAGTCAAGATGTCAGCAGAGCCATGCTCCCTTCGAAACATGTGGAAGAGAATCTTTCCTAGTTTCTTCTTGCTTCTGGTGTTTGTGAGCAATCCTTGCTGTTTGTTGCCTTGTAGATCTATCACTCCAAGCTCTGTCTCCATCATCGCATAGACTTGTTCTCCCTGTATGTGTCTGTTTCTGTCTCTTTTCCTGTCCTTATAAGGACACCAGTCAGATGGATTAATTAAGGACCCACCCTACTCCAGTATGACCTCATCCTACCTTAATTAGTCACGTCTGTAACAATCCTATTTCCAAATAAGATTACGTTCTGAAGTATGGTAGGTTAGAACTTCAACATATCTTTTTGTGGGATATGATTCAAGCCATAACACTATTTGTCGAAATTTCTAAATCATATGAGTACTCAATTAAATATATTTCAAAAATACTCTTCTTATTCCTGCCATCAAATCACTTATATTAACACTGAAACTATACTCCACAATAATCATCTTGAGAAAACATAGGAAATTAAACTTGAAATCAATTAGCAGTAGCAACAGCTTAATGGCAGATAAGTACGTTGCATGATATTAACTACTGCATGTTTAATAGACCAGCACTAACAAACCGGCAGGAAACTGAAATAATTTTTAGTAAAATTCTGCCTTTTTAATTATGGTAAACAAAATAAAATAATTTCCAGAATTGAATTTGTGCTCTAGTTTATTTTTTCAGATTATAAAATTTCTGCCTTTGTTTTCCCTTTAGAGTCACAAGTTAAAAAGGAAGCTTTAAAACCAGGTAAAAATATTTTATTCTTAAATAGACACAGAACTGATCCTGCCTTCATTTTAGAATTAAAAGAGACTTACCACACCCACCACTGGAGATTTACAGAGTCTCCCAGAGCCTCATTATTTTTCCTACTCTGTTGCTCAGTATGCTTTCACAGGACTGGATTAGCTGAGAACGGGGATATTCTGTAAGTGAGAACATCTAGAATGTTTTTAAATGGACCACAGCAGACACTCTAGGTTTCAGGAGACATCTCTTGGAGTCCTTCAAACCCTAGTATGATCATATTTAATTTGTAGGCTTATTTCCAGTGACATAGCAGAGTCAGAATCATAAACTACTGGGATTTGAGAGAAAAATGACAAGAATTTATGAGACATCTATTATAGCTTAGAAATAGCGTAGGATTTTTATTTCCAATATATCATTATAAGAGACATCCAACAGGACAATTACTATCCATATTTAATGTCTGTGGAAACAGTTCAATAGACTAAATTCAGAAAATAAGTTATTTGTCCAAGATTTTCAAGTTAATAAATGTTGGAGCTAGGATTCTGCCCATGTTCGATTTACTCAAAACTCCCACTAAGAAATTGTCCCAGGCTAATGATCATTTTATTAAGAGGTAACATTGACCTAATATCAGGGTGACCTTTCCAAGTTTACATTGCTATTTAGTGTTTAAGTCCTGGCTCTGGTACCAGCTAGCTACTGACCTGAGGCAAGTTAAAAAAAGAACCCTCAAGCTGTATGGAAACTATTTCTTCACTGTAAAAAATTACACAGCAAGATTCCTCAATATCAACAAATTCAAGAATCCAAGTTTAGATATACATACAATACTATCTTGCTCCTTTAATTCTCACCAAAGCTTACCCAGCAACTGATCATAAGCTTGATTCTAGTTGTTCTTAAAAATAATATATTTTTAATGTATCAAGGCTTATAAATGCCTAAGTACTGTCTTATTTTTTTAATTTTTATTTATTTTTTAAAGTTTTTTTTATTTATTTAAGCAATGTCTACACCCAACATGGGGCTCAAACTCATGACCCGGAGATCAAGAGTTGTACACTCTTTGAACTGAGCCAGCCGGGCACTCCCTAAGTACTGTCTTATGATTTATTTTCCTGACTGTATTTTTGGGTTTTTTTTTTTTTTTTTTTTTTTTTGCTGCAGATGAATGTTACCAGATAGAAACATTTTGCATTTTCCTTATTTTTTTTTTAAACCAGAAGCCCAGTACCATTTAAAACTTCTACTTAGGCCTAATGCCATTTAAAACTTTTAGTTATTATTATAAAACACCACAATTTAGCAGGTAATTTAATTGATTCCAGTTTTTTTATACATAAATGTTTCCTTTTGAACTTCATCTGAAAAAACTCAAATGCATAGTATATATATTAATTTCATCTTGTCAAAATAACCTTTGACAAGAAAATTTTAAATATTTTCAGTAATATATATTTGCTATCTATATTTTGGCATTTATGCTTTATTACAACCTATGCCTTGGAAATTATAAGTACTTAAATGTAAATAAGAATTCTTGGTATACTGTTTCATGCAAAGGAAACCTTTAAGTTTTTCGTATAAATTAAAGTGACATGAAAATTTAGACAGAGTTTTTCTCCATGGACACATTTGTTGAAATTTGTGTTATTCACTGGCTTATGAAACAGAAAAAAAAATCACCATACGTTAATTTACAAAGCTTCTAAACATCTGAAAAGATTTTCTTTTTATTATTTTCAGAACAAGACATAGTGAAACCAGAAAAGACTGTTTCTCGTGGGAAACCAGGTATTTTGCAGGTGGTACCTGTAGTATCAAATTGTCTCTCCTTGTTCCAGTTTCAGCAGGATGAAGAGCTTAATGTGGAATCTAAAGTTTTCAGGGATGATTCATGTCTTAAGTCATCCAACTTTTAGAACATCTCCAATTTCAGTCATCTTCACAATGTGTTTTGAACTGAGGATTTGACCTGTCAAGTGTAACCGGATAGCTAGTCTGTCCTTTCCCATCAGAGATTTAGCTTAGTACAAAGATCATCACTGCCAGCACTCAGGTGAATGGGCTCTATAGTTTCTTTTGTTCTGTCCTGTTTGGGGCAAGACATCCTTGGGAAACTTATAATTCAGAATGGCTCATTCAAACATGATCATCTTGGATTCCAAAAATCCCAAGAAAAGGAAATCAACATCTCTCCCTGCTTCCTTCCCTCCTTCCTTCTTCCATCTTTGCTTCATTCTCTTTGGTTTTCATCCCTGGTTGTAATTACATTTTGGAGATAGTAGAGGTAAGCCAATGTGTCCTGCTCATAAAAAGACATACAGAACTTACCAAAACAAATTTATCAATTGTTTTTTTTAAGAATAAAAACTTTTAAGTTTTCATTTATGCTAATTAAATATGAGTTTAATTTGGAGGCAGTCCCAAGTCTCAGTTATTCTGTAGAATATTGTTCTTCATTCCAGGCTGAATTATTCAGCCAAAGTTATGAATGTGGTTAGGCCAGAATCTTTAATAAGTTAAAAACATAATTTCTCTAAGCATATCTTAGGAAATATTTGCTTACACTTTCAAAATTTTTACTGTAGACAAACTGTTTAAAATGGATTTGAGTCCATTTGATTTCATTTGCCTATGCTTTAAAGTATATGAGACACCAGCAGGAATAGAAAAAGCAGACCTGGGATGTGAGGAGCCAAGAATAGCTGTCTCCAGCTTAGAGACAGAACCTTAGAAATAACTTTTAGAACTTCCCGTTACTTTCCTGACTGTCCCAAATGTCAGTCATTTTGAGCTGAAATACAGAGAGTGAGAGAATTTAGTCTCTGACAGTACAGCAAGCACACTGTCTTCCAGTCATACCTTTCTTTTATTTTAGTGGTAATATTCATATTCTAAATTCTGCTTCCCAGGGAAACTTTCTCATTGACTTATTCCCACTGCTATGTTATTGAAAAGTTTTAATTTTACATAGGATGATTGTAATAATCTCTCTACGGTGACCCAAATCTCTTTGACTACATCTATAAAAGCATAGAGGACAGAAGACATACCATAAATGTATCCCTTTTGCCCTTCCCCAGCTTTGTACCATAAAAAACTTGGGTCACTAAGCTAATCCCAGGCTCCCAGGGAGGAATCTTGCACAGGAAAAATAAAAAAAAAAAAAATTGCTTCTTCCTGTTCTAATTCAATTATTAAAAAAGGATTATTGTTTTATGAAACAACCCCTGTGTAGATAAATACAGTGAAAAACAGTGAAGGCAAGGGGTAGAGTGTGTATTCGTAGGTCAGGGGATGATTCCAATTGGAAAACTTTTATGGCAGGATAGCTGCAAAGGATGTCTGCAGTTGGACGCATTTTCTTTGTGCTCCATCCAATTTGAATAGAAGAATGACTTGCTGCTTTACTGAAAAAACAGCTAAGTTTTTCTCAGTTTTGGTGTTTTTCAAAGAGAATACAAAATATCAAAGTTGACATGTCACTATTTTATACTGATGCATTTAAATTTTCTACTTGTGTTAACATTTTTTCGTATCACAGAAGAAAAAGTTGTCAAGCAGATAAAAGCTACCACTATAGAAAAAACAGGTAAATAAGATATTTCATATTTTCCTTCTGTGTATCAGCTTTATGTTATGTGGGTACACACACACACACACACACACACACACACACACACACCTTCACTGTTGTGTGTAGAGTTTTAGTGCCATAAATTTTAAGATTGTGAATTCTTGTAAATAACTGAAAGATACAATCAATAAAATTAACAGTGGAATACAGAGTGATGTAATTTAATTATTTGTGATTGATCTAAACTTACATATAACTCTTGAGGTAATCCAAGTAATACATTGATTATCATATACTGCTAGGTGTTTAATCTTATTTTAAAACCGCCCTTCCTCAAATTGTAAAATCACAGGAATCCAAGACTATGAAATCTGCTGTTTGTGTATTAGATAGAATAATGTCCTTTCAGGCACCTGGGTGGCTCAGTCGTTAAGGGTCTGCCTTCTGCTCAGGTCATGATCCCAGGGTCCTGGGATCGAGTCCCACATCGGGCTCCCTTGGGGGGAAGCCCGCTTCTCCCTCTCCCACTCCCGCTGCTTGTGTTCCTTCTCTCGCTCTCTCTCTCTCTCTGTCAAATAAATGAATAAAATCTTTAAAAAATAATAATAATGTCCTTTCATGAGAGCTTCACAAACAGTTATGTGGTTGTATGAACATGTACTATTAAAATAGTCCATCTCTCAGTATTTCATGTGAGAAGAAAAAAAGAGTGCACACACTCTTGCCATTCTGAAGTTCTTTCCTATAGAGATGAATGAATGTCATATCAACTGACATCCTAAATCACTGAATCCCTTCCATTGAATTCCAAGATGGAAATTCTATCCACCTGGGCAACTGGCAGTTAATAGAGTCCCATTTCTTACTAAAAAAATCATTTCAAAGGAAAAAGTCTTGAAGTACTTCTTCAGTTTAACTAAGATAATCATGCTAATCAAGATTTAAATACAGTTTCTCAGAGGAAAATATAATAGAATTCAGGAAACAACTAATTATTTATAAAATTATAGACTATTAACACATGAGAAAGAAAGAAACCTTATAAGGTCATTTACACATCACCTCACATGTTCCTTGTACTCTATTAAAGCCACTGTCAAAGCTCATAATTTCAGCATTCCTCTAATTTGCACCCTAAAGTGTTATTGTGGCTCCCTGAGGATCTCATTTAGTTATATGGGTATTTGGGGATTTTCAAGAAGCTAGCCCAATGTATTTGTGTGCCAAATGTAAAGATTGTTTTAAATTTTGCACACCTTTTGTGTGTCATAACTTTTCAGCAAGCTGTGTGAATGATAATATTTGCTGAGAGTAAAATAATAGTGCTCAGAGAGAATGGAATAAGCTTAATATAAGAAGAGAACCTAAAACTAAGAAGAAATAAATACAGAAGCTAAAGAGTTATTTTTTTCAATGGTTTGCACTCATCCATATGCCATTTACTTTTCCCCATTCTCCAACAGTCAAGCCCAAACCAGCAAGTAAGAGATGAAAAGGATAAAATTTGAAAAGCATTGCTTGGCTATTTCAACTTTAACAACTTGCTTGTTTTTTTTTTCTTTAATTGTTAATTTTAATGTTGCCTTAATCTAAATTACCTGTATAGATGATAAAATAATGTTTTGCTATAGCTTTGATTTGACATCTTTGCCTTTCACTACTAATTAATACTTTGCTATAGTTATACAGAAGAAATCTTTGAGAGTTCTATCACTATTACTAATCCTAAAAGAGCAAGTCCGTGTAGACTATAAAATACTACAAAGAAATAAGAGTGAACTGGCAAGCTCTCAAACACACATAATGAATAACAAAGGAAAATGAAACAATCATCAGTGTTATGAACCACATATTGTTTTTGGTTTAAGTAACATTTATTGTACTGTAGGTAGACTTTGGTAGTTAGAATTCCATGAGATTATAATCATATTGCCATTTGTTCCTTAAAATCATGGACTTTTCTGATGAGTATGAACTTAAAAGATCATCCATTTTACTGCTCAGGAATGATTCAGAATTATAGTGACAGAGAGTTTAAAAGCTGACTATTGGACTCAGAAAGGCATGAACATGGGCTCATTATCACACAGGTAGTAAATAAGTCCAAAATTGTGTCCAAATTGTGATGTTGGTCCTTGAATGCTGTGTATTTATGAAACACAACTTCCGTGAAAGCATGCTGGTCAAATACTCCCTGGATCCTATATGAAAAATGGATTGACACAGTCCAAAGATGAATGTGGTGAGATCAGTTAGGAAACCATATAAGTGGCTTCAGGAGGTAAAGTGCAAACGTATGCAGCCTAAAAAAATATATTCACATTCTAGAACCTGTTGCATGTATTTTGAAATCATGTTTTATATTATTATTGTTACTGTAATCCATACTTTTGCAGTGCTGTTGTTATGCCAGTTTAATAAGTTGAATATCAGCTTTTCAATTTTATTTTGTATTGCATGTTTATATAATATTAACATTTATGCAAATTGAGTTCGTGAAAGTCTTATTCTTACATGCTGTCAAGCTCTAATTTACAAATATCTAGTTTAGTCTTGTGACAACATAGGTCCTGCATCTTCCCATCTACTTCACTGTTGGTGCATGACATTGGGGAAAAATAGTAGTACTTTTCGAATCTCCAAATTCAGAGGTGGGGGAAGAAAAGAACAGGTAGACATCAATAATAGCTCGGGAGGGTTAACCCTGGGGGTGTTTAGAAAGAACTAATACTTGGCAGTGATCGGCTCTATTTCCAACTGTTCTCAACTCCATTCAAAGTATCCTACCCTATAATGGCTTCATTTGAAATTCCACTTTTGATGAAAGAGAGAGCTCTCCTGTTATTTTTATTTCCACTATTTTTCAGAGGGCTAAGGGGAATACCAATGACACATTTGATTCCATTTGTCCTGTCCTAGACTCAGTTGAGAATCATCTGTGAGAGTTCTAAATGGACCTGGAAAGAGAGGGCGGTCCAGGAAAATGAAAATACAAAATGTGATACTTTCTGATATAGGGCGGGTCCGGGTTAAATTTTCAACAAGAAACTAGTGTCCAGCACGAACTGCTTCTGACTGGCAGGAAAGGAGCTAGAAGGGCTCAGAGGGTAAAAAGGGGAGCTTGTAAAATGCCAAAGGGAGATGTCATCTGCTTTAAAGTAGCCCCAAGGAATGACTCTACCTTCAGCAGGGAAAGAAAAATCCTCCTTTTATTCTCCTCTTTCTTTCATCTTCTATCCTCTTCTCCCTATACCCCATGGTCTCAAGAGGGCTGGTAGCATCGTACTGTCTTACAGGATGCCCCGAGAATGAACCTGACCTTGTTTACAATGTGTTTCGATGGCCATGTGCTTTCTGTGTTCCAACATGCAAATAACTTTGAGGGCATGCTTCCCACATAAACTGCGGATCACCTGCAAACACATAAATAAGAAATGCTTTCTATGCAAACAATCCACAGATTGCCAATTAATTTTAATTTCTCTTTCTAGAAAAAGCTGAACACCAAGAAAAGAACTCTCCATCTATAAAAACAGGTGTTTTTACATTGTCTTAATTCACTATTTTTATTAAATTAAAAATTAAAACAAAGCATATAAGTGTTTTTCATCTTATTTCCTAGTACTGTTCAGGCTGGTGGTTTTCTAGTAAGATCTAGTTTATCTGACATAAGGGTCGTGTTATTGTTGACAATCATACATTTTGCTAACTATTATAACCAATATGTATAGGATTGTCAAACATGCTATTATAACAGTATTTTTTTGTTTCAAGTTTTTATGTAAATTCTAGTTAGTTAACATATAGTGTAATATTACATATTACACTATATTCTACTCCTGAAATGAAAAGGAGTAGAATTCAGTGATTCATCACTGAAATACAACACCCAGTGCTTATCACAAGGGCCTTCCTTAATACCCATCACCCATTTAGCCCATCCCCCACCCACCTCTCTGCCAGCAACCCTCAGTTTGTTCTCTATAGTTAAGAGTCTCTTATGGTTATAATACAGCAGTATTAACAAAATAGTATTGCTTTCATAATTAACAAGCCCCTTTCACTGGTGTCAATATTAATGTCATTTGTCATATTGATTAAGTTGATTCACTGTGTATAGTATTGTAAAATTTCTTGCCAAATTACACAAATTACATTTTACTGAAAACTATGAATTTCAACTTGATATCTTTTCTTAACTATAAAATATAAAAATGTTAGCTTAATTCTTTAAAAAATACTGTTTGATTTTAAAAAAAATATGATAGCTGACCTGGTTCAAACACTGAGGCATACACCATAGGAGGCTGTGAAAATATTCCTCCTTCTCCTCTCTTTTTTCCTGTTCTACCAGTTCCCATTCCCAAAATATCCAGTAGGTAATTACTGTTATTCCTTATTGTCTCATTTTAGCCATATATATATATATATATATATATACATAGCATATATACATATATACACACATATACATACACATATACAAATAAATACATATATATCCCCACTTCCATTTATTTACACAAATCATGACATACTATAAATTACACTTTCCCTAGATTTTTCTATTTAAGAATGTATTATGAACATTGTTTAATCTCAGCACATGAAGAATTTCCACATTAATAGTATTCTATTGTATTGTTGTACAGATTACTTAACTAATCTCTGACTGGTGTGTTTAAGTTGTCTAAAGGCTTTCTGTAATGATATTCAAAAATAAATATATCTACCAATCTAGTTTTGTGAATTTATCTTTGGAGTAAAATTTCTTGCAGTAAAATTTTTTAGTGAAGTGATATATCCAATGGAATTTTTATAAATATTTCTAATTGTTCCCTGATATAAGTTGTATTAGTTTATATTGCCACTGTTAATGATTTTGAATTAGTTGACCCAGTTTTGAATGATTTGAATTCTTCACAATCATGACCATATGTTGTCATTTTTTAATGAATGAATGGGTCTTTAGGTATATGACTACATAATTAATGTTTTTGTTAATAATTTCAGAAGACAAAGAATATCAGAGAAAGAGATCATGTACTTAGATGGTATAGTTTTGTGCTTTTCACCTATCACTTATTTATTCTTCCTGAGATTTTATTTATTTAAAAAAAATTTTTTAAGATTTATTTACTTGAGAGAGAGAGCGAGAGTACACAAGCAGGGGGACGGGCAGAGGAAGAGGAGAGAAACAGATTCGCCACTGAGTGCAGCACCAGATCTCAGGAACCTAAGATCATTACCTGAGCCAAGACCAAGAGTCTGACGCCTAACCAACTGGGCCACCCACGTGCCCCCATTCTTCCTGAGATTTTATAAAATCAGTTTCTTCTTTTAAAATACTGGATTGGGAGACTTAAATAGTTAATATTAATATTAATGTTGATATTAATATTAACATGGATCCTGAAAGGATGATGGCAGAATATGCATTTTATGCTATTCAGAAGCAGTAAGGCATTCAAATTATTGTGAGCGTTCATATTGCATCAAACCAAAGATAAGGTTTCAGGCGCCTAGGTTGCTCAGTCGTTAAGTGTCTGCCTTGGGCTCAGGTCATGATCCCAGGGTCCTGGGATGGAGCCCCACATTGGGCTCCCTCCTCAGCGGGAAGCCCGCTTCTCCCTCTCCCTCTCTCCCTGCTGTGTTCCAGCTCTCCCTGTCTCTCTGTCAAATAAATAAATAAAATCTTTAAAAGAAATAAGGTTTCATAGGGATAAAGAGACTAAGAAGATTCTATATTCAAAAGCTTTATAATTTTTTCTATGGGGAACTCATTAAGAATATAACTTTAAAATTATTCAAAATGCATTTTCTATTGTTCATTTTAATATGGTTAGCCTATTCTTTTTTTTAAATTTTTTATTGTTATGTTAATCACCGTACATTACATCATTAGTTCTTGATGTAGTGTTCCATGATTCATTGTTTGTGCATAACACCCAGTGCTCCACGCAGAATGTGCCCTCTTTAATACCCATCACCAGGCTAACCCATCCCCCACCCCCCTCCCCTCTAGAACCCTCAGTTTGTTTTTCAGAGTCCATCGTCTCTCATGGTTCGTCTCCCCCTCCGACTTACTCCCCTTCATTCTTCCCCTCCTGCTATCTTCTTCTTTTTCTTTTTTCTTAACATGTGTTGCATTATTTGTTTCAGAAGTACAGATCTGTGATTCAACAGTCTTGCACAATTCACAACGCTCACCATAGCACATACCCTACCCAAAGTCTATCACCCAGCCACCCCATCCCTCCCACCCCCATCACTCCAGCAACCCTCAGTTTGTTTCCTGAGATTAAGAATTCCTCATATCAGTGAGGTCATATGATACATGTCTTTCTCTGATTGACTTATTTCACTCAGCATAACACCCTCCAGTTCCATCCACGTTGTTGCAAATGGCAAGATCCCATTCCTTTTGATGGCTGCATAATATTCCATTGTGTATATATACCACATCTTCTTTATCCATTCATCTGTCGATGGACATCTTGGCTCTTTGGTTAGCCTATTCTTATTTTAACTTGAACACACAGAAATAGGAATATAAAGGGCTGATATTTTACCTATAGGTGGAAGATGATCGCTGGTTTTCTTTTCTTCTTTACTTTTTAGACAAACCTAAACCAACTTCAAGTAAGTGTACCACTTCAAAATTTTAAGAATTTATTTAATTACTTCAATTTTATAATCTTTTTGCATTGTATGTGCAGCCAAAAAAAGACAGTATGTTTATTAATGCAATAGCCAGTATGCCATCAGCTATGTAAACGATTCTGATTGACAGAGAATATTGTGTGTATTTTATTCATTAATCCTTGAACATGTCTTTATTGAACACCTATTAGATATATTACACTGTACCAGGATATATGAGGGAATGACAAAAATGTTTCCTGTTTTCATGCCTGTGTAATTAATACATTTACCAATATAACTAGTGCCTGGGTGGAAAAAAGTGGTTTATCTCTCTTTTATGTACTTCCATTTGTTTGTTAGGATGTATTGAGTGAACACAGTATGGAGATTCCTCTAGTAGTCACTGCCGGGTTAAGAAAAATTTAGAACACATAATCCTGTCTCCAATTATTGAATCTTAACACATTAGACTTTTACTATCTTACTTTTTCAAAGCATGAAGGTAAGTTGTTTTTAGTATTTCAGAATCTGTTTTATTTTGACATTCCAAGCAAAAATACACATGCAACAGTTTTGGAAATTTATGGTTTTATGTAATTTTGTAAAAATGAAATTATTATTTAATACTGTTAAATTATGACCCAGACTTTAACCTGGGGTAAAAATACGTGCATTTCAATCAAAAGTGTATCTAGAAGTTGTATCTAAAGTTCTTAAATGCCAAGGAATAACCTAGTTCCTTAACAGTATCATGACATTCTTTACAAATACAGCCAGTTTTCTTCTAATTGAATTTGATGTTAAAATATTAAATGTTGCCTTTGGGTTGGAAAAAATCGCTAGTACATTTAGTTTTTATTATTGCTATGGATATGAAGAGTATTGCAAAAATTAACGGTTGAAAGTCAAAACTACAATGCTAATATGAAGTATCACCATAATCACTTATAAATACTGTTTTGTTTGTGGAATGTTATTCATTTTTCATCTTCATTATCATGAAATATTTTAATCAATTTTTCTTGAATTTTGAGTATAGCTTCCAGAGAAGCTATAGAAGACTGATAATTAAATGGATCAGGTTTATAGAAATGTTCTCACTTGAACTGAACTTTGAGGAAAAATATATTTTTTAAAAACCTGCCATGTTATATTTTAAAATATTATTGGTGTATGCATTAAGTAAAAGAACAAAAAGAGAGGCTGGTTTTATATTATCATAGACTAAAGATAAGTAGCATTTTATATCTTGTCTCACTGCTCTGACAGTAGTCACTGTGAGTTGAATTTATTTCTGTGATATTTTTCAACCTCATCCCACAACCCCACCCATTGCATTTAGTATAACATCTTATACATGAAGTTGCTTTATAAATATTCAGTGAATGAATGCATGCATGCATATATGAAGATCAAGTTAAAAGTTTGTGAAGCAGAGATTTATAATTTGTAATTTTATAATTAAGAAAACCAACCAAAGGACTTCAAATTGATTAATTCTACAAAACAGGCATAGCATGTTTTAGATTGGTTTATAGAGTAGTTCTAATTTCAAAATAGATTTCTAGTTACAGTTTTCAGAGATACTGGTTATCAGTGCATTTCTTTGCCATTTTGAGCATATGTGTTTATTGTCATTACTTAGTGGAATTAAAAGGAAATACCTGTAGATAAAGCTCAGTTGTCTGCTACTGAAATACAAAACTATTCCTTCCTTTTCTTTTTCTACTATATTCTTTTTCTTTTTTTCCTAAAGAGGAAACATCAGAAGTCATAGAATCAGGTAAATATTTACTTTCCCAAAGGAGGTAACACAGATCTGTGGAAACATCTATATGTAAATTTGAGTCTCTATCTAGTTGTGTAACATTTGGGAAAATCCCTTAACCAGCTCAGATTCCTGGTTTCCTCATTTGTAGGACAGACAAAATGACTTCCCAAAAGGCTCATGATGAATATTAAATAAGATAACGTATGCCACATTCCCACTACATACGTGGTTGTCACTCATTACATATTGGTTTTCTTCTCACGCTTGTCTGATAACTATAGTTGAAGAAAATCATCAATCAACTGAAACTGTTTTGAAAAGCATGTGTCAACTTTTTGCTTAGAGATATTTTGCAACTCTCATTATTTTTATTCCATAGTTTTCTTATTGAGCATCCATAGCACCAGTTCAATTCTCATTTCCTAAAGAAAACAATTGAAAATTTGGATGTTTCTCCTATTGTTACTAGTTTATACTTCATAAATTCACGGCCTGCTCTAGCTTTCCTTCAAAGCACATAAAAACAAAGACAAAGAGAAAAAGGGATGGGGCTCCGCCATCCAGGTGACTGAGTATAAGCCAAATAACCAAGCATAACAAAAATATATATGTTCTCACACACAGGAGGTATACTCTTCCTCCACATCTTGAAAATGTGGAGCATTGACCCTCTCCAGTTATGGGATTAAGTCCCATCTCCAACTGTTTACTTCAAGATTGAGTAAGAAAGTCATGTTTTTTTAAACTGATGATTTCTTGTTGCTATATTTCCCCTGCAGGGAAGAAGAAAATTGAAAAATCTGAAAAAGAAAGTAAAGGTAAAGATGACATTTAAAGACATGTACACCAAATTAACAGTAAAGACACAGAAATAAAAAATACATAATTATACAAATTATATCATTTAAAAGCAATGTGGACAGAGATTTTAAAGCATCAGAATTGCAGTTCACTGTAGGATTTTCCATGCAAGACTGTATTACTTATTGTTAAATATCTAAAGAGAATGGAAATGTAGGTTCTTCTATTTCCAAATTAACAGCATAGAATTCTTTTCATATAATGCCTGAATTGTGAACCCTGACTACACAAAATTTAATTCCAAACCTTAGGAAGACCTATGAATAAATGATATGTGACTCAAAATTACCTTTTTTTCTCTACAGAAAAAGCAGAAATGAAACATCTTAAAGAAGAAAAAGGTAATGTTTTAAAAGATGGAAAAGCACAATGCAAAGCCCTGAAGCCAAAATTGTTGAGTCGAGGCTTATTTATATCACTTTAAAATAAAACTTTAATTTGCGTACATGTTGAGCGCTAGTGTGATTAAAAGAAGAAATGTAGAAACTAGCCAGTGGATATGTGGTAATGTCCTTGTCGAAGAAAGAGTGGAGGGCAGGCCAGTCCCAGCCAGTGTACATCCATGTGTGGTCGTGCCATTGGTGAGCAACACGTTCAGAAGCTGCATCATAAAGTGGCTTGTTTTCTTAACACTGGGTGTATTTATTTGGCAAACTACAAAATATAATATGATAATCACTGATTTTCAATGTAGTTATCTGAAAAACTTACAAAGGCCTTACTTATCAAAAAATATTCTATTGGATCAAAAGGAAGACATTCTTAGACATATCATAAAGACTGTTAATAATAGGACAGTTTTGTTTGTTTGTTTGTTTTGGTCTTTTTGGTTTATCCCTGAATTCAGTTACTTGCAATGACCCATTGTACATGGATTCTCATTAATTTAAATATTGTAATCACTGCAATCATGTTAATCTCGGTGCAAACAAAACAATCTCTACTGGTTACATTTATTTTTGTTAAGTGTTAGAAGAACAGAAAAACTTTTTAAATCACCCTGAGAAAATATGTACAATATTTAAATTATTCCCATGTTCCCAAAGTTAGTTGAAGTGAGCCAAAATTTTTATGAAAGTCCCTTTAAAAATTCATAGTTTAATTTACATTTTCCTTATCAACAGTCTCAACAAGAAAAGAAAGTCTTCAATCACACAACGAGACGAAAGGTAACCTTGAATCAACTTTGTAAATATTCCAGATGCTAAGTTGGTATGGAGGTGCCTAAATTATGTTTGCACTTAATATTAACACTACATTATTTTAAAGCAAGGAAGTCTACCGTTTATACACTTCTGCTAGTAGCAGAGGAAGTGGACAAGTAGGAAATCTAGCGGAGGTTTACGTTTCAGTGGAAAACTAACAAATGTGCAGAAATTAGAACATTAACAACATAAACATTCAATAAAATATTCCAGCACATACAAGAAGATAAATTTCTCTATTACAAAAGACTCTCATAATATGCATAAGGTCAAAAATTATATAGTTGTAAAAACAGATAGAGCTGAGAATTATTTTATGTATTACATATATATAACCAATGTCATAAATATATTTTTATTATCTAAAGTTGGCCCTTTAAATTAATTCCACCTAGACAAAAAGTGGTTGGTAGAGGGGAAAAGGCCAGCATGTGCACGGCAGGAAGATGCCCTTTATCTAAAATGAGAATGACCTATTTTGGTGGTATTGAATATCAAAAAAACTATAAATGGATGTTATAACTGAATTATGTAGTCTGGGTGATATAATTTTAAACAAATCTAATTAATTCAAAATGTAATGGAATTTAAATGTTTCAAATTTTAAGATGCTAAATAAACATGCAGTATTTGAACAATTGTTTTCATTCATAGTAAATGTATAGAACTCTAGTGTGTGGGGAGGGGGAATGAGTCTTGTTTTTTCACTTGTTCCTTCTTTCTGTTTACTGTATTATGGATACCTGAAAGGGCGGGACATATGTAGACACATAATTTAGACATATAGTCATTAGTAATTTAGACATATAGTTACCAGTAATATTAAAGGCTAAAATTTAGAATAAGGACAAGCCAAATTTGTAGAAGCATATAGGGGCATAAATTTTATATTTTTATTTTCTTAACTTTTAAAATATTGCTTAGCATCTTTTAAGATAATTAGCCAGAAGAATGAGAAGATACCAATTACTTAAAAAATTCATTGGTACAGCCTTTCCTATTATTAGTTCATTTAATCCTCAGCACAGGCCCAATTATCATGCCCAGTTTAAAGATGAGGTAAGTGTGAGGAAGGAAGTCTAACATCTCAGAATGTTTACATGGTAGAGAAAGGATTTGGCTCCAAGTATGACGCCAAACTTAACAGTTGAACTCATTCAATCACATTTCATTACCCCATCACACTGTGGCACACATAGGAGAAGCTTTCTACTAATCAGAGCAGCCCAAAGGTAAAATGGAAATGTACCCAACTTTGTTCCCAAGGGAGCGGTCTGTTTGAACTGTAACTACAGGGCTGTACAAGGGATTTGGATATTGGATGGACAGTATCTTCTTACCAATCCAGAGTCCATTATTTCTTCCTATTATGAATACACAGGACAAATTATTATATGTGAAAGCACAGAACTAACCCTGAGCTAGTTGAGAATACAGGCACATTCTTATTCATTCCTTCATTCAACAGATGGTTCATTGTATTTCAATAAATGTTTATTGTATTCCTATTTAAGTCCCTGTCTTTTAGCCAGTGATAGTATTTTTAAAGGAAAAATAACATGTTATTTTGTAATTTTATACATGAGACATGTGATTGTATTATCATTAAAACCATAAATATCTCAAATGAAAAAAAATTTTATTGGCATTAACTAATTTTTGTAAATTTGTAATTCTTGGGTTTATATTAGAAACTCTGTAAGTTTCAAAGTAAATCATGTAATGCAGATTCATTTAAAAATTTATATTTTCAAGCCCAGTCCTTTAAATTAGACTAATGTTGGGATGGTAGCTACACTTATGGTGAACACTGCATAATGTATAAACTTGTCAAATCACTAAATTATACACTTGAAACTTATGTAACATTATGTGTCAACTATACTAAAAAAAAAAAAGTTAGCCTAATGTTAGTAGAAAGTGGATGTTACAAATCTTTTTTATTTTTCAAGAAGTTAGAATGTCCGTTAGAGTATTTGGGATAATCATTTCACCTTATATTTTTGTCCTACATATATATAATTTAAAGTAAAAAAAATGCTACTTTGAAGAATTATGGTTTCTCACTGAAACTAATTGACAAATAGTTATGAAAAAATTAAACTGATTTTGCATGTTGCATTTTAAGGTTTAGTTATTTGTCCTTATTATCTTTGAAAGGAAAATAATTCTCAATAATACATTTTATGGAATTTGGAAACTTTAAACAATTATTTAGATTAATTACATCATACAAAGTAATTTTACTCAAGTTGGCTATAATTAGAGTTGAACCAAGACACTTAATTTAACAAAGATCCTGCTGATTTTAGTAAGAGTGTTTAAAAAGTATAAATATGTTGTGACATCTACAATAATTAATAGCTCTTCTGATATTTCACATAAAAGCTATTAATATATTCAAAGATCCATGTTCTCAGGCAATAGTTATATTCTTTCATTAACTTTTAAATAATAAGGAAGTCTAAAGATATTAATTACCTTCATGTGGCCCATCAAAATATAATGTCTTTGCATTTTATCTGAGTTAAACAAAACTTGTTTTCTTTTTTTTAGCAGAAAAGCCTGCAAGAGTATCAAGTAAGTACTGCTTGTATTGATGATAAATTCTCTTTGGCACGCAGTATAAATTTCCAGCTGAAATTCATAAAATATTTACATTTTTAATGTGTTCAGAGATTGAGTCATTTCATACTAAACCTTCTGACAGGAATGTAACTTTTAAACTTAGTTATGTTGAAACTTAAAAAAACTATGTTATTTGAAATGATGCCTTGTAACAGAAATACTTTATCATGTTCTCAAGCCTGAAGATTAAAGTGACTTGCATTCAAATACATGAATTTTTTCAGTGATTGAAGTAGAATGAAATAAAATAATCCTGTTTCTGCCTTAAACCTTCAATCACTAAAGATTTGCTGTAGAGCATATATAGTTGAGCAATGATGTTTTATTTGCTGATGTTTTCCAATGTTCATTAACTTAAATATAATTGTATATCTGAGAAGAATGACATAGTAGGGAATCTAAGCTCATATGTCGGAAACAGACAAAACCCTCAGAAAACAATCTCTAAAATATCAATATCTAGGTATGGATAGGCATTCTAAATATACAGGGTAAACTTTAAATTTTCCTATAAGCTCCTAAAATTATGGGAAATAGAAATCTTCCCTCCATGTTTCCTGATTTAAAAAAAACATCATTTTAAGTCAGTGCTTTCTTGTATAAAATCATGTGAACAACACATGTAATTTTAAATTTTCTAGTAGATACATTAAAAGGGTTAAAAATGTTAAAATAATTTTAATGTTTATTTAACTCTATAGAAATATTTTTACTATGTATCAATACAGAAATATATTGATAGTGTACACCATTTTTTTGAAGTTGTGCGTGTGTTTTACACTTATAGCACATTTCAATTGGTACTAGTCACCTTTCAGTAGCCCAAAGCCCCATGTGGTGAGTGGCTACTGCATTGGACAGAACAGATCTCAGTATTTATTGAGTGCTCCTACTGTGCCCACCACTACTGAGGACGGTACAAGACAATCATTAAATGTGGTACTTGCCACATATTTCATTCAAAGCTCTTTGACTACAAATAATAGAACCCCACGTGGACTTGCTTCAGGGATTTAAAACAGAGAATAATTACAGGGGTGCAGAATTGTCTCGCTGATGCAAGGGCAAAGCTCCCACTTGATCCTCGGGAAAGCCCTCTAAAACAATCCTGCTCTGCACTCTTCCCCTACAGTCAAAGGTAGTCAGGGCATACTTCATAAAGCAGGGCGTTCCAGAATTTGTACGTTGAAGAAGGTTAGCTTTGAATAACTGGAAATAGAGAGAAGTGATGTAAAGAGAAAACTCACTTCTCCTGTCTCTTCACTCTCACAGCAGTTACCATGCTCCCAGCACTTCCTACACCAGATGTATGGTTTTTATTTTGTTTTGTTTTGTTTCTTTTTGGTTTTTGTTTTCCACACCAAGAAATTCTCTGTGATGCCAGCTAGGTGTCATACAATTGTCAGTCACTTCTGACACTAACGTGGAGTTAGCACAGACCCCATAGTTTAAAGGCTCGGAGCCCTGAGTTGAGAACTCAGAAACTGCTCCCTATTTCAGTTGCCAATTGTAAGTAGTAGGTCCGTAGGTTACTCACAACTTCTTTCCAATATGGCTACAAATCGGAGGTTCTCATGACTTCCTCCCTTGGATTCAATTATTTACTAGAACAGCTTGCAGAACTCAGAGAAACACTAAATTACAATTACTAGTTTATTATATAATAAAGGATATGGTAAAGGATACCATAGGAGTTGGGGCGAGCCACTTTCCTCATAAGTAGATGTGTTTACCAACACAGAAGTTCCTTGAACCCCATATGTCTGAGGTTATTTTATGGAGTTTTTATTACATAGGCATGATTGATCATTAACTCAATCTCCAGCCCCTTCCCCTCCTGGAGTATGCGGAATGGGACTGAAAGTTTCCAGCTTCTAATCATGGCTTGGTCTTTTTGGTGACGAGCCCCCATCCAGGAGCCCACCAAGCATTGCCTCATGGGAACAAAAACTCTTCCATCACCCAGGAGATTTAGACACTCTATGCCAGGAACCAAGGGCAGATGCCGATTTATATTTTTTTCTGTATTTCAAAGTCAGCAACCAAAAAACCATGATATGTAGAAGCCATCAAAAGAAGGGTTGTCTGGAGTTAAAGGCTAGTGTCAGAAAGCAGTAGACGTAAGGACATGTAGGGTGAAACATCTCTATGAGGTAGAGATCCAGCAGGCCAGAAGACTTTAGACTTACTGCCACAGAAAACTGTAGTTTACTTTACAACAGGGAGCAAAATGGAATTGTTGGGAAGAAATAAGGGTAATTAAGAAGTAAATAAGAAATAAGAGTAGTAACGGAAAAGAAAAAAGTGTGACCAAAAAAATGTCTACTCTTTCATATGGATTACAGGAAATAAATGTCCAAGGACATCATGAGATATTCCTTTTTTTTAATTTTTAAAAATTTTTTGAGATGATATATTTTAATAAATTGGTTGCTGCACACATGAAGATTATATTCTCTATAGCACATATTTTTTTATCATGCCTTTTTGGAGGCAATCATCAAAACCTTCAGATATTTATCAAATTAAACATACTGAACATAATTTATACGGAAGATTCATTGTTCTTTTTCTGAACTCTTTTCAACATAATGTACATGCGTATTTATTTTTGGTCAGACTTCTTATTTATCTTTCAGTCATTTATTTGTCTTTCATAAAGGAGGTTCACAAATAGCTTTTGCTTTGAGCCCATTGGTCCCTTCCACCCACATTCTCTAACTCCAGTGCCTGCATCTCTTGTCTTCTGGATGGGACCAAGTCCTCTACTTCTGATAGGTTGGTTTTTCTGCTTTGGTACTAGATGCACAGAGACTGTCCTTCATTCCCAGATTTTTTGGCTGGGAAGGAAGAAAAGGTTAATTTGTGGAAAAGGACCACTATAAAACAGAACGGAGGTATCACCTCCTGAATTCTGGTTCACTTTGATTGAGATGCTTGAAACCATCCGGGTGGACTGGATTCTCAAATCTCTGGGGTTTTATCGTAGGGATAAAGAAGATACTGATAAGAATCAGCAATACATGAACATCTCTCTATTACATCAGTGAAAGTAATATTGCAAAATCAAATTTTCCATAATTCACAGACGATTATGGTTTAATTGATGCCTGCTTTTGTGGATGTATTTTTTTAAAGGATGTGGCTTTCTGATTCTAAATGTCCATTTGATTTTCATTCTGTATTTTTTTATAGATATGGTAAATATATAATGAATAATTTGCTTTCCATGGAATTCAGAGGAAGACATCAAGGGATGTTAGATTGTATTATATTTAAGATCCATTACCTTAAAAATTAAAAGCAAAATGAACACATTTTTGATTTTTAAATGGCACAACCATTTGATATTAGTATTTTAAGTATTCTGAAAATTTTTTCTGAAAAAAAATAACTGTACATCCAAAAACATTACTCCCCAGGAAGTTGCCCAAAGGCAAAACATGAAATAAAACAGAGGAATGAAAACATACATTATTAAAAGGCAAACGGTGCCAAGGGAAGACTGGCAGCTAGAGGAATTCAAGGCCCTTGACATAGCTGAGACGTTGACAGTGTATTTATAACAATGGGTGTGGGGTATCAAGGAAAAAATTTTTATAGAAACCTATAGTTCTTTTGTTTGAATTGTCTGGTAGTCAACATTTAAGTAAAGATAGTTTGGCTTTCCCCTTAAAATAAGTATTTTTTTAAAGATTTTATTTATTTGAGAGAGAGAGCACGGACAAGCAGGGTAAGGGGCAGAGGGAGAGTGCTGAATGTGCAGCTGATCCCAGGACTGAGCCGAAGTCAGACGCTTAACTGATGGAGCCACCCGAATGCCCCTAAAATAAGAAGTGATATAGTAAGAACATTCTTGAGATGACTCTATGTGGAAATCTAACTTTGGCATCTTTTTCTGTAACGTTTTTCTCTAAATATGAATAGTGAGCATTTTGCCATTAGCAACTCACCAAAATTATCTGCATAGACAGGTTTGGGATCATCATAAAGTATCTGGGATCTAATTTTGATATCAAAGATAATGAATTTAACTTTTTAAGGATATACTTAAAATTTAATCTTTTCTAGAAGTTAATTACTTTTTAAGGAAACTCAAGCCCAGCAGAGGACTAGCCAGGATTTCCATGTTTTAGACAACTTCCTTTATAGCTTTACATTTGTGATTTGCTTTGTAAAGCTTCCTAAATTTGAAAACACTCATTCATTTTCTGGTTCTACATTTTCTTTCTTTTTGCATAAATATGGTATATTAATAAGTAATTTGCATCAATATTAAATATTTTAGATATCAGAATTAAGCTATTTTGAAATTTGTCTGAAAATTTAAGTAAGCCCAAGGTGCTTAAAAATTAAACAAAGACGGACACCTGGGTGGTGCAGTCTATTAAGCCTATGACTCTGCTCAGGTCATGATCTCAGAGTCCTGAGATCAAGCCCCGTATCTGGGCTCCATGCTTAGAGTGGTATCTGCTTAAAACTGTCTATCCCTCTGCCCCTCTCTACCTGCATACTCTCTCTCTTTCTCTAAAAATAAATAAATAAATCTTTTAGAAAAATAATAAATAAATAAAAATTAAACAAGGAGATAAAGGTTTATAGCATTTATAATTTATACATTTGTTACAACTTAAAGACTTCTTTTGAAAGAATATAAACATAACTAAAGTGTATCATTTGTCATAATAAAAGTATAACCTATTTTGTATTGATTATATGTCCCTACACTGAAAATTTTCAAGAACTTCAAAAAGCCAGAATTTACTAATAAGTATGTACTTCGCATTTGAAAGAATATTTCACTTTTTAAGACAAACACTTAACGAGTCTGTGAAGTATAAAATTATAATCTAATGGCAAGAAAAACTAATTGTCATAAGCTCTTAAACACAAAAAGAGCATGCTTTGCTTTATATTGATATTATCTATAATTCCCTTTCATATATAATTAA